TAAACAAATGTTATTAAAGTAAATATTCAAAGCTTATTTAATTGTTTTAATCAGTTATCGTACGATCGTAAGTCTTGAGTAAAAGTATAAGTGTATTTTTACCGCCAGTTGCGGGCCCGTAAAAACGCCACTTCGGTGTACGTGGCGTGCCTGAACGGGGGAAAAAAAAAACAAACCCGATTTTCGGTAAGGGGGGGGGGGTGTTATTAAACATGTAATCGCGTGGCCCGGAGGACAAGTATTAAAGTAAATTAATACCGTGCGCAAATAATAATCCGCGGTGTCGATACGCGCGCGTTTGGTGGCTGTCAACGGGACGTTGCGTCACTGTTGCACTTTCGACGAGACGTGGTCGTCGTCCGCGGCGGCTGTTCGTTAAATTAATAAGCTACCGCGAGCGTACGGTACGCGCGCGGGTACGGGGTGACGCAACGAACGCGCCTGGCCGTCGTCGTCGTCCCGGCCCACGGTTGCGGTCCGCCGTAGAGGCGTAGACGTGTATAATGTTGTTGTTGTTGTTGTTGTTGTTGTTATTATTATTATCGTTATCATTATCATTACGCCCCGCGCCTTGTGCACTCGTTATCGCCGTATATTATTATTTCGCCGTTCGTTTATTTATTACGCACGATCCGCGACACGGCGGTGTGAACATTACGAATATTAAACGGGTTCCGATCACGTTCTGCAGGCGCATGGGGTCGATCGTCAGATCCCCGACACCGATACGCGGACACGGCCGCAGCGCCGCGCGTAATGCGCTGCAACGCCTCGGCCCGCGTTCTGTTTTCGCCGCGTAACATTCGCACGTACCCGGGAATCCCGTGTCAAAATGTCGCGGCAATAATATCGCGGCAAGAAATGTCGCAGGTCAAAACGTCGCAGTGAATAACGTCGCATGCGCAAAATGCCGCAGCATAAAAGAAAATCTACTGAACAATTTTTAAAAATTTAATTTTTTCTTTTTTTTTTCGTCTAGTTATCAGATTTTAAAATGGACGGGGTTAAACTTTATACAATTTTATTATGACGAATGCTTAAATAATTTAAAAATATATAAATAAGTTTAACAATAAATTGCTGGTGTCGAACCTCCCACAATGGAATATGTGGAATATCCCACAGTTTCCAGTATCAATTATAATATTATAAATAATACAATTCTTTTTCATTAACTAATATGATTTGACCAGGAATGTAAATCGTATAAATGACAACTACGAATGTACGAAATGTAAGAGATTATTATTTTTAATATAACCTCACAGTATATAAAACACACTAAATAGTTTACCTGAATTAGATTGCCAAACAGTTTAAAAAAAATTAAAAATGTGTATTCTACATAGCTTTTATGCAGCAACAATTTTTATCGCGACTTTTTGACCGCGACATTTTTAATCACGACATTAAGATGTAGATTCGTATATCTGTATTACAGACCCAGAAGTAATAATATTATTATTATAATAATACCGAACGATTAACAATGTAGAACGGACACTCGGTCGGACGGTCGATTTTCGTTTACCCGATAACGCGATCCGAACGTACCGTGATTCTCTTATAGGCGACGCTTCCGTTAACGGAAAATCGGAAGCAGCGATTCCGACGTGCCGATTCATTCGGTGAATGGTAATATTCTGGAACCGTGTTTGAACCGAACATCAAGCAGCCTACACGATATCGATATTCCCACATTTTATCCCTCTAAATCCTAAAATAGTCGTATTATATAAGGAGTCATTAAAATCAAGAATGTGGGATAGCCGATCTCAATTGGACTTGACTAATTCTACAAAATATACTGGATAAATCGGTCGTAATAAAAACACGTTTAAATTCCTATACTTCGCGTGTGTTTGATAAAGACAGAAAATCACCGATTTTAATCCTCTTAATGCAAAGTTGATTAAGAGATATTTCAAGAAGCTGTGGACCCCGGGGTCACAAGACTCCAGAGGTCTCAGTTTTTTCCATAATATATAATGTTCATGTGATCATGTTCATTATCTATGCATTTAATAATTCATTTTTCTTGGTTGATATTTTAAATGACCAATGCTCTATATCATGTTATATATTGTTTTTAATTTATTAAAATATAATAAGTAATCATTTTCGAGTTTATTTTTAAAAGTTTTCTCCAGTACTCCTAAATATCTTAATCCGAGCTTGCTTTAAACAAATCTGATTCCATACGTCATAAGATCCGATTACATTCGGCGAATTTGCTCTCTAGTCGCTGGTGAGTTTACTTGCCACTGCCAATTTCATTTAATGTAATCAACCTAGTTGCTTAGTAGCCGTGTGTTGAACACTAGCTGGTTGTACGGGAATAGAGTTGATGATCGGACTACTTTTGTCGTTACTCGAATGACGTATGAAGCGGGATCAGAGGAGATATAATTGTACTCGGGCGCCATATTTCTAGGGGAAGTTAATCTTTTAAGACGTGGCAAAGTAGCAGTTTTGTTTTTTTTAAATATCAATCTCATTCCACAGTTTATACTCACTTAGCGGGGCCTAAAATAATGTGTTTAAAAACTCAAAGTTTACAGCGGGAAAATGCAAAGTGTACAACTCGAAATTCCAGTGTGTTGCAAAAAAAAAAAAAAAAATATGTGTTCTTTTGAAAGTATTCTAAAAGAACAGTGTCCCAGGGCACTAAAAATGTAAATATGTGTACGGTTTTACTGTTCGGCGAGTAAAATCACTCGGTGTAATCGACACGTTAAGCCAAAATCGCTATTAGTGTGCTATTAGTTAGTGGTTAATAGTAGTAATGTATTGTTCGAACTCGTCCAAAGGGTCGACTCTTAAAGGTTAACCCTTGCGTTACGGAATCGTCCGTGTTGATGGTATTGATATGAAAACTAGTGGCCAGCGGTGTCCACACATAACATAACAGCATTGAACGTTATTTCAGAGGACATTTATCGAGTTTCGGAGGGTCAAGGTGACCCATTTATTTGACGCGGGAACACACGGATTGTCTGACCTATGATAATAACGAACGGACGCGCGGAAAACGAAATAATACAAATACATATCGAAAAATAAAATAATATACCGGCCGTTGTACACACACGGTAACCATAATATTATTACAATTTATATCGGCCGCGAACGCGATATATTACGCGCTCGCGAGCTGTCGAAGAAACCTCGCGATTGGAAAATTGAATAACAATAATATTATTTTAATTTTGATATTGTTACGGACGGAGGGAAAGGAGCGGCGTTGGGCGCCGATCTTTGGCCGGACCTCGCCGCGAGCGTATATCGCCGACCTCGGTCCGACCAGAATATTCGCTTCTCGAGTCGTGTATCGTTATTGTTGAGGTCGGACACCCCTATAGACTCGGTTAAACCTATTCCCGCCGTGTTGACCATATTTTTTTCTTCGGATATTAATAGTCATCCGGATCGACTTGTTTGAGATTCCAAGTGTATCTATAGCGACGAAGTTCATGCGCGTCGAGTTCGCATCGCGACAAAGTCCCGGCAGATTCTGACATTTTATCCAGAATTTGCCTGATTTTGTTAGACCAAAAGTTTTTTTTTTTTGGATTTTAGAAGACAATAAAAGAAAAATTTTATTGTAAACACATTTTAAAATCGAGACAGATATTTTCCTGAATACCGAGTAAAATAGAGTTTACTTATAAGGTAGACTTTTATTTTTTTTTTTAACTTTACTCATTATCCCAAGGGCATGTCCCTTTAATGTATTAGCCAGTGCAGGTACTAGTCATTAGAGAGAGTCTGAAAACCAACAGGCTATATTGGAACCCGTTGACCGATATCGAAATCTCGAGAGACAAAATGAAAAACACCGCGGAGAAACCGAGATATCCGAGTACCATAGCGGTTAAAATTGTTTTTCGAAAACCGTTTACACCGATCGAATCGAAGGGTTCTCCCCGATTCGAATCTAGTTTAACGACCGATATATTATTTAAAAAATATAATATTAGCAGTTAATTAGACAAATTAAAGTTGATTAATTAGATATAGGTATTATACGTCCAAAACACGTTTTTAACAAGCCATTTTTTTTTCGAGCGTATATTATATTGCCACTAATTTAATGTGCCTGTTACCTACTATACTAGTAGGTACATTACCGTTGTCCTAGTTATGATACCGTGCAAGGTATATAAAGTATATACTGTACCTACCGTGACCAAATTTTATACCTGGGCTTTCATCAGTCTTGTTATAACAGTATTCTTTTCGGATATGTAATTTAAATAAAAACTGTATTCGGAATATTATGTTTTCGAATACTTGTGTAAATTGTAATCGAACACTTTTTTTAGAAAATATTTGAGTAAATATTTGAGCAAATACTCATTAAAAATATTCGAAAAAATGTTTTTTTAATAAATTTGAAATGCCTCGAAAGATTCCTATACTCGTCAAATTACACATAAACACTCGAAAAAATCCATGGATATATTTAATTTAAATAGGTTAAACAATTTCAGATTTCGCACATTAACATATTATTCAATTATACATATTATTTAATGACTTTGGTTAGGCACAAATAGTATTAGTATAGTAAGTTATTGATGAATATAAAATACGAATTTGTTATGTTGTTTTGTTGATAGCGGTAACTTGAACAAACATATTTTTTATTGTGGAATAAAGATACGATAATATTATAATGCATTTTTAAAATATTCAAAACATATCTGTCAAAAAGTATTTCCAAAGTATTCCAATACAAGTATTCGAATATTTAACAAAAACCAGCTTTTATACTATATAATTTATTTTATTATACTATCATATTTTTATTTACATCATTAGTAGAATATAATACATTTTACAACATGTTTTTACATACTTCATATGGTATATTACATAACGGACATGTACCCAATTATACATGTAAATAACGGTTTTTTTTTAGCAAGACAGTGTAATAAACTTAAAAACAACAGTAGTAATAATAATAATAACAACCATGAAATAGAAAAAGATGGGTTAGAATTGCAGGCTATTAGGCATATAACGGCGTAGTGGTTCGTGTAAACCATAGTTGGTGGAGGATGAGGAAGAAAGGTTAAAAGGAACATAGTACAATGTATGGTTGAAAGCATTTGATGAAGTAACTAAGATTAATGAATTGGTCCATTCAACGACTTCGTCCAGAAACCGATGGTTTTACGATTGGTTCATGGCTAAACAATTAAAACATATAACTTGGCATGGGTATTTTTACTTTTTTTTTTCATTTTCAGGGAATATTTTAGGATTATGCACATTAATTGTATACAAAATTTTTTAAGAGCGTGTTTTTTTATGAATTATCTCGTACGGCGTACACTATAATAATTCCGTATAGGAATTCTAGAAAAAATTATCAATTTTCTGTATTTTTAAAACGATAACGAAAATACGTACGTATCGGTTTCGTGGCTTTGAAGAGCATATATTATAATATTACCATTATAAATACTCGTTTATTTCCACGGAAAATATTGTGCCGCACATTATAATATAACTGTACGGCTGTTCAAAAAAGTTGATATTTACAGGCATAATATATGCCCGATGCAGATGGACCAGTAATAACGACTGGTTTATTGATTATAGAGTGGACGTCACGTTGTGCAGATCTACGGCGCAGTGTAACGCGGTTATCTTTATCGTTCTGCACCGCGTCAAAAAATAATCTGGTGGCCAACGAAAATAATTATGCTGTAACACTGCGTGTCCACAACGAGAAAAACCACGATTTTATGGATAAACTATAATAACAATAATTTGAACTCGTTGTGTTTTATAATTTTTAATCAAATGAGCTCCGCTATTTTACGATTATAAATCGATTTAACGGCCAGAAGACACCTCGGGCCGATTTGTTACGCTGTTTTTTTTTTTTTTTCGGCACCCTGAAAAAACGAGTATTTTTATTAGTACGTTTTAAATTGTCGAACGCGATATAATATTTTATTTTTTTATTGCTTGTGACCGATGCACCGTCCGGAATTGAATTATATTTTTGTCTCGTTAATATTTTCCTAATACATAAATTCTATATTTTTAATAAACAATCTAACTCCCTTGTTTCTAAAGACGATTTTTCGAGTAAAATATTATAAAATAACGTAATAATAATACTAGCTTGTAGGTTAAAGCTAGGTGGTGTGTACGACTAATATTTAAGTATAAGAGCATTTTAAATTTGAAAATAAAAGATGGACTACTTATTTTTTAGTACGAAACCGATTGAAGCCATACGAACTTGTCACTTAACATTTTAAACCAAAATGTTACGTAAGTTGGAAATGGAATTCAGCGTGAAAACCAAAGGAATTGGTTTCCAAAGAACTAAAGGAACCAAAGGTACACAAATAAAATATCCTATAATGCTGATGGCTGTCACTGTGGTATGATGAAATTTGGAACGAAGAAAATATAAAAAAAAATTTATTTATATATGCACGCAATGATAAATTATCGTAGACGAAAAACCACTCTGAGCAAAATGTTATTAGTCGTATCTTAATTTCTGAGCGAAGCGAGGAATATATTGGTTTTACAATGATGTTTATGTTTATTATTATTTATTTATTTTTTTACTTTAAACAACTTTTCTATCAGAAATTTTGCTCCGATTTTCAAGTGTAGCACTTTTCTGAAAGAAAATCTGACTGGGGCTCTTTACTTTAGAGAGGACACTTTTTATTTTTTCCTAATAGTTTTTTTAATTAATCATAAATATATCGAAAAATGTATAACCGAACTCCACTCAAAATCGTTTTTCATTAGTAAACTAGCAATAACTAATCGTTACGTACAGAAATATATTAAACTTCCTCAATATCCTACCTTCTAAACCTTTCACATCTATCAATGGCACACCCATCGTGCAAAGTACGATGGGCGTGCTATTGATAAAAAAATATAAAAAATGTCCAGCTATTCCTATTTATTATGAAAAATACAGGGAAAATAAAATAAAAGATGTCCTGGGAGAATGGGGATAGGTGCAGCTACTGTTATAGATAATTTAATGTATACCTGTAAGCAACGGTTAACCATTGTTAACGAAAAAACGATTCTGAATGGAGTTTTGTTAATAGTGATGCTTTATTAACAATATATTTTATGTCATTTTATAGTAAAATAATTAAATAGGCTTAATATATTTTATTTAGTAATATTTCTTTAATGTAGTACCATTTTTTTCAGTTTACCTACGTTTTTCCCGGTTTTTCAAATTTGCTGAAAAGTCTCCTGAGAAAATCGAAAAATGACGTCTTTAAAGTACCTTCCTAGTGAATTTTCCTTTTAAAAACATTGTTATCTTTAAAAGTAGGAGTAAAATTGCTGGTAGAAAAGTTGTTCACAGAAAAAAGAAGACTGTAATATATTTTAACTAATACTTTAGTTTCTTATATTTTCTCTTTTTTTTCGGTTTTTGAGAAAAGTCCTGAGGACATCGAAAAATGACCTCTCTAAAGTAGCTACCTAATGAAATTAGTGTAATTTCCTTTCAGAATAGTTGCTACACGTAGAAATTTAACCAAGTTTTCTAGTAGAAAATTTGTTAAGAGATAAAAAAAAAAAATAACAAAATAAACACTTTTGTAAAACCAGAAGCTTCTTTGGTCCACTCACAATCTAAAATTAAAAGGCATCGATTGAATCAAAAATGTCACAAAGAAGGTTCCCATGAAATTTTTTGATTGGATTTTTGTACAATATTTCTGGCAGAAAAGTTGTTTAAATATACACAAAAAAAAGCATATTGAAGTATAAACCACACATATGACCATATAACCTATACATTCCCTTTTGCGCTCATAATCTAAAGAAAATTAGGTATTATTTAAAACACATGTTATAATGGCAAAGCGAATATAATTTGTGTATAGTTAAATTAGTCCGCCCATCACATATGAAGCGTAAATAATATTTACAAAGTACAATCCGTCAATAAAAAATAAAATAATAAATAATAATATTACTATCGAGAAATGAACACTGATGGTTTAATTCGTTTTCATGTCCACGGGGGCTAGTATAATAATTATTATAGTAGGTACATTTAATATTATTTTTCTCGTCGAGTTCATTTACCACACAGGCTATGCGTACGTAATATGTATTATTAGGTATAATCGTATTCAAAGTATTAAAAATAAAAAACCAGCAATATATTAACTATTTATATGCGCATTAAAATAATACAAGGTAGTACGTAATATGTTTTACTTTTTTAGATTCTGAATGGAGCGAAAATGCTTATGGTTTTACAAAGATGTTTGTTTTTTTGTTTATCTGTTTACAACTTTTCTACCAAAAGACTTGCTCAGATTTCTAAATGTAGTACTTTTTCTAAAATTAAATATGCGTGTATTCGATTTTCTTAAGAGTTTTCTCGTCAAATTTGAAAAACCGAAAAAAAAACGGGAAAATATAAGAAATTTAGGTATTAGTTAAAATGTATTACGACCTTCTTTTTTCCTGTGCATAATTTTTTCACCAGTAATTTTGCTCCAATTTATAATAATAGCAATGTTATTTTTAAAAAGAAGTTTGGTTGGGAAGGTACTTTGAGGTCATTTTTCGATTTTCCTTAGAGTTTTCCAGGCAAATGTGAAAAACCGAGATAAAGCATGGGGAAATCAGGAAAAACGTAGGAAAATTGAGAAAATCGGTACAACATAAAACAAATATTATTAAAAAAAATATAGAAAGTCTATTTAATTATTTTACTAAAATATGACATATTTATTGTTGACAAAGTTTCACTATCATCTGAACTCCGCTCAGAATCGTTTTTTCGTAAGCTATGTTAATAATAAGAATAATAATAATATAATTAGATTTCCCTAACACAAATCCACTTCAAAATGGCGTACAATGAGTAATTGTGAATTGATTCAAAATAAAAGCGAGAAACTTAATTTTATGGTATCTTGTTTATCGATTTTGGCAAGTATGAAGGGGGAATAAAGGTTTTCACTAACAAAAAAAAGAAAAAAAAAACTTTCTTCCAGAAATAATTTAGGTACCTATAAGGTCATATAAGCATGTAAATTATAATTTCATTTTCGTATGCTCTTTGGAAATTTCATTGTATAACTAAATTGTTAATTATTCAATTATAAAATACAGTATTATAACAAATTTAAAATTTTCATTCGAACGGAAAACTCTGTAAAGTTATTGAGATCTGTTAAAACGGCGTGAGAAATAAAGTTTTTTTTTCTTTAGGCTTCATACCATGTACAGTGATTTTCTTTTTCTATCGTTATTTAGCGATTATTATGTATACAGAGATTTCAAGTAAAATTGATTTTTGTCTGTTTTAGTCACGATTTATTCTTCAAAATCGTAGAACGATATTATTTACAATATTTTCTGTGATACCGTATACATTTTACACTATATACCGTATACACTATAAACATTTTTAATTTTCAACTCCTCACTCTGTTTAAAATATCAAAGATTCGAAATGAGAACATTTTGATAGGTACGCATTATTTTATAATGAGTGAAAAAAATTTCACTCGAAATCTCCGTGTGCCTGGTTGTGATAAATAAAAATTACCTTGCATGTGCGGTACACGATATTCCGTTCAGTTATTCGTATATTTTGTGTCCGATCGATAATGCGCGTTAATTATTGCAGTATGAATGTATTTTATACGGACGATTTCTGCAGATGACGAGATTTAGTTTTCGAGTTTTTTTTTTTTTTTTTTAGACGAGTGTAATGCCATTTCTGTTATTACATATCATTACGATTTCGATATAGTATTTTATAATATCGTGGGCATAATAATTTTTTATTAAAATGTATAAGTTTTTTTTTTTTTATTATAATTTTCACAATCGACATTCAAGCGATCATTTAAGTACGGTTTTATTATACCCACCTGCAGTCTCTCCGTACGAGCTACTGGCGGTGATTAATAATTCAAACTAACTTCCCTAATAAATATATTACGTCTAATGTGTTCAAATTGGTGATTAATGCGCTTTTCCCTTATCCGCTCCGAAGTCTTCTTAGACATTATCTCTACCAAGGTACGACTCAAAGGAAATTCCCAGGCGACTTTCAGAGTCAACATTAATATATATATATATATTAAGATACCGCGGTCGCGTCCGTGGTCGTAGCCGCGTCGCAAAAACCCGCAAGGAATGATTTAAGTCAACTAAGCTATACCAAATGCAATTATGTTTGCTTAAAAAAAAAATTCAACATCAGTTATCATAAATAAAAAAAAAGAGCTCTGATACTGCTGATAGGTGTGCTACTGTTGTCGGGGGGAGAAATTGGGAATGCAGTACTTGTACGCAAAGTTATTTAATTTATATCGGTATAGGCAAGGATAAATCATTCGAACATGTTTTGAAATGCTGGTTAATATCAGTTTTCTCGATTATTATAAAAACTATTTTTAAAATCAAAAATAATCTCACCACGTGCACCAACAATATCAAAATTCAACAAAAAATCTCGCTCGTCGTTGTTTGGTCGAAGCAAGTTTAGAAAAGTTGTTTACAGGAACAAAGAGAAAATATCGCATATATCAAATTATAAGGTAATGTTTTCTTTTTTTTTTATATAGTATATAATAGTATATAATTTATGTTCAAATTTTAATAAAAGTCTTAAAAGTACAAAGCATGACGGCCTATTATTTTTCTATTTATAATGTGAATATAGTTTTTTCGGCTAAGTCAAATGATGACTTACCACGAAGTACGTTATTTTGTTAGAAAATTATCGATAATACCTATTATATTATTATACAGATTTCGATTGAAATTCTGTCCACAAAACTATTTATCGCGCAAAATAAATACGTATTTGATGTTTAACGATAAGTTAACATGATATAAAAATACGTCTCCAAACCATTTGAACTAATATACAATTATATTTTGATGGATGGCATCAATGGATTAATGGCAAATCACGGTAGTTTAGAACTATTATTAATAGGCAATACTTCAACGACAACTACGAGTTTTAAACAAATATAATTAATATAATATTATAGTTGAATGTTTTAAAAAGGGATTGTGTTTATCACAATTTTCTACCAGACGTTTTATTTGAAGTATCTTATTTTGAAAAGTTAGCGCATGGAGATTACATTTTTCGTAGGTATTAAAATAATTTAATTGACTGGAAAAAAAGTGTAGAAAAAAAAAAACGGGAAAAGGCAATAGGTTTTCGTATTTTTTCGATTTTTTTTTTATTTTAATTCTGATTAAATAACTTAAAACCTTTCAGACAACTCAACTGCATGAATAAATTCATAATGAATAATGGATAGTTGCTTGCGCAATTACCGGTCTACATATTTTCTTTTTCTTTTGAATTAAACGAAAATATTACGTATATATTATTCATGATAACTAAGTTCTTTATTATCGTGATGAATCGTGAATAAAACTTTATTATAGTAGTTAATTAATGTTTCATTGCATGCTTTAATAGACGCGTTGGAAAATATGTGAATTATTTTATTCTTATTGTGTTGAAAATCTCGACAGGGTTTGTAGCCTGCACAATCACATGCATATTGAGAAAAAATTGAAATGACGCCATTAGACGCAGTCGATTGTACGTACTTGCAATTGAACTACTATATTGGTAAATAAAAAAAAGTATTTTTTATCATTGCTCAGAATATTATTTTATTTGTAATAATTTATTGATGCGCACAGATATGAATTAAATAACATTTTATACCCTACTTTTCTAATTTTCCATCTACATCAATCGTATACTTAATAGAAGTATACCAGTATCTGTTTTAAAATTTATTTTGTTTTTCGACCGTGAAAAACATTTGATACGGTGAAGTACTAATCAATTTTATTGAATTGTAGATCAGCAAACTCAATAAACTCAATTAAATCTATAAACCTCGCTACGCTTGGAATCTAATACAATGCACATTAAAAATTCGTTTTCATTATTAATAGTAGTATTTGTACTAATCTCACCAGTGCTAAGGACAACAACAAAATTTGCCATTCTTAGTATTAATTATCTTAATAATTTAATATATCACTTACCGTTAAAATGGCCAAGTACCTTATAGTTACCGATTGTTATAGATATTAGATTTGGATTGTAACACACTTCTCGTCGGTAATTTTGCTATGTAAATTTGACCAAAGATAACGTGACAAATAAATTTAAGCAACAAAGTAAAGACATGTTTTTATTTATTATGTGAAACATCGAAACATATAATTTCCAAATTGTAACCCAAAAAATAAATTGAATAAAAAATAAAAGTGTTTATTGTTAGTCAAAGTTTTGGAAGGAAAACTTAGCTCAGAATTGTTTTATTTACATCAAAATAATATTATTTTAAGTGTATTACCTATACTGGAGTTACATATTCTATTTTCTTTTTTCTACGGTGGACACTTCGTCTTGCAACATGCACATTTTGAGACGGTGTCATAACATCCTTTTAGCCCTTCATCACATTGAAAACCTCCCAACCTTTGTTCATTCGGTAAGCATTTTGTTCTACAACACATACATTGTCCATCAGTTGTTCCACATGATATTTGATCACATATAGTGGCACCAGTATCCGGAACCCATGATGATTTTACATTTGTTAACGATATGGACAATAAAATAAACGATAAGGAAGCGATGTAGTTTTTGAAGTTCATTGTAAAATATGTAACTCTGAAAAAAATGTTACCAAATCAATCAGCTATTTTGGTCGATTTTAGACGAATCGTAGTGAAACAAAATTGAATAATTCTTGTCTGTCTAATCTTTATGGATGTTGGTGAAATTGCCGCCACATGTAAATAATAATTAAATGACAATACACTGCGTGTTACTGGTTTAATGATAATTTTTTTTAGGCATCATTTGATCTACAATAACCTAAACACAAAACCATATATCACCCGAATTAAAGAATTGTTTGCGTTTAAAGAATAATAAATATGGTACATATGTGTGTTGCCTACCATTTGTATAAATATGCATATTACATTTTTATTAGTAATCATAACAATTATTTCACTATAAAAAAAAAAAGGATAAATTTTAACTAAACTGCAGTTTTTAAACAAATACATTTAATAATATTTTGGATTCATAGAACAACGAAAAATGTATTTGTTTAATTATGATTTGCTTAGAATCATAATTCGTTAGTAATACTTAGTGATGAGTAAAATTATATTGTCTTGTAGTTTTTGTCTTGGTCTTGCTGAAAGACCAAGTTGGCAACGGTACTAGCAAGACTAAGAATAAGCCTGTAAGACTAACACTAAAATAAGGTCACCACTGCAAGACTCTTACAGACTTGTACATTTGTTTTCTTCCAAAAAAAATCACATTTAATATGAGATAAATGTATTATTACTCATAAACGTTTACGGGGAAATGATAAATTAATAATTATTGAAAATAAGATCAGATATTAAATATTATTAAAATTTGGTAGTTAATAATTTGTCATTTCTGTCATCAACAAAGATAATATATTTAATACATACTCGTATAAAGTATATACCGAATTTTAATAACATAGATAGGTACTCGAATAGCACCTAATTAAAAAATTATTAGTTAGTAGATACCTATTATTAAAAGTCGCCAATACGAATAATAATAATAATAATAATAATAGAATTTTATTACAACAGTTATCGTTTAGTTATTGCTCATTTTAGATATTTAGTAATTTTGTAATTTTATAGGCATAGTTCCTAATTGTATCACAAATAAATTATTTTTAGAGTTTTCAATAGGTATCATTTTATTCTGTTTTTCAAATATTTATCTACAGCAAATATGTAAAGTTAAGATAAATAAATATTAATATAGAAAATATTTTATTTTGAAAAAACTTTGGAATTTAATATTTAAAAATTCGTACAATTTTAGACAGGATAAATCTGGAATTTACATTTTGAAATCCATAAAATTTGGATGGTAAAAAAATGAACCGTAATTTATTGTATGGAACAGTACATTTCTGCAGCTAAAAGTTGGACTATTCAAAACTTTGACTAATCGATAAAATATAATATTCTTGATTTACATTAGTAGGTTAGATACTTATTTAAACAATATCAATAATATACAATACATATTGAGTCTAATAACAGTCAGCTAAGTATAACACACATACATGAATGTTAAATTACACACACACACAAATCGACAAAATCCGGATGTACCTTCATATAATTTGCTTAATTCTTACTTCTTAGAAAATTAACTACTTAATGATGAACCTGTTTAAATATAATAATTTACAATTCCAAATATTTACGTTCATTTTTTTAGCGTCCTATTTGAAAAATCCAGGTTTTTACGTAGACTTAGAAAAAAAAAAAAAATTAATTTACTTTGTTACAAAAGTAGGACCAAGACCAAGACCAATACTAATATTTTTAATCAAGACCAAGAACTAGATTGGATCTGCAAGAAAAATACCAAGACCAAGATTGTCTTAGTCTTGATCTTGTTTTGCTTATCAATAGTAACGCTTTAACATTGATTATAAATATAAATAAAATACATTTATTTATGCTACCGTCCCACCTTCCTGACTATAACAGTATCACTGAAATCTGCATCATCAGCTCATTTGGAATCTGAGAGTAGCGAGTATTGTTGGTTTTAGTCAAGTTTGTGAGTATGTCAATGGTTTTTGGATTTTCCTTGTATATTTCTAATAATATATTAAAACCGAAAAATAGGCGTAGATAGAACTGGAAAATTTACAATAATTATTATTTTTTTATTTGCAATATTTTTTGGTTATACTTAGTCTAAAATTTTCTTAGAGACTTTTATAGAAAAGGTAAAATTTTCAAACCGTCTTTGAAATGCTTAATGATTAAACAAATTGTCCATCAAAACTTGTACTGAGTGGTCAAAAAAAAAGTTAAGTGTAATGTATTATTTTTTTTTATAAGTGTTTTACTATCAAATTTTTGACGAAAACCGTAGAAAACGGTACAAGGGTCGTAAATATTACGGCTTTTCAAAACATGTAGAACCAAAGTTCATTCCGAATTTTTTTCTTTAAAAATAGTTTACCGTTGCTATAAATTAAATAACTTTGTGTATAATGTGAATATGTGAATGATCGTAACTATCCGATTGTCTGAACAAATGCCGCGGAGGGTAAACACCGTCGTAGTGTCTCGGAGGATGTTTGAAATCCTTCTCGGCGCAGTCGTGTTTGCGACTAAACTTCTTAAATTGGTAAATGAAAAGAATAAATATTTTCGACTCGTTTAAAAATTGTATATTATCTATTTGTTTATTATACAATAAACCTGCCTATGTAAAAAAACAAGTTATATCGACGTGCCACGCAGAAAAAACGAAATATAATTGGTTCCGATATTATTACGCGCGGACGGAATAGATATCTTTTTTATTACTCGAATAGAATTATCGCGGCGATGATTTTATTTCCTAACCGCACGAGCCAATAACACTATTTACGTTTTCCACCGTCGTCATGACGTACCTGTCGCGCGCTAACATGAAAAAAAAATAATAATATTATCTATGCGTATAATAATTTCGAGTTTAATTAAAACGTTGTCGTATTTTACGACCGGACTTGTCGTTTTTTTTTTTTTTTTACAATGAGATTTTCTCTCTCTTTCGTGCCCGTCTCTCGCGTTCCGTTCTCGAAATAAATTATTATATTATTACCTACGGTGGTGTAAACGTGCGCGTCAATAACAGATTTGCGTAAAATACTTTTTAAAAGAATTCAGAATAAAACATTTTTCGAATTCATACTGAATTCGATTTATATCGAGTGCTAATGGATGGAAATTATGCACGGTTTAATGTCTCTAAGTAACGTGCGAATAAATCTAAATTTTTTTATACTAACCGAAAAGGCGTTTTTCGAGAAACTAAAGCACATGTCTTCAAGCACGTCCAACTTAACCAAGCATTTAAGCATTAAAAACTCTAAAATGAGACCGAAAAAAGTATTTTTAAAATACTCGGAATACTATCCGTTTCTAGTCAACTGTAATCATATAATTATAACTATGTTAGCTGTTCCGTACGGATTTGCTCGCGTCAGTATTGAACGAAAAAATATGTAAAAAAAAAAAAAATAATGAAAACGTGTTTCACCGTTTGGTGAAACATTGGCGCTATATCTTTAAATTGAGTTTTGATCAACAATAATTACTAATAATCCTACAACAAACAAAATAACCAGTTTCTATAGTAACTATACGGTGCGCTGTGCATATTCTTGCGACAACTCATTACGGCCCTTTCACAGAGTACCTTATTATTTATATTTTTGTTTTGTTTGATTATTACTTTTTTTTATTGTTATTTTTTTATATGTATTACCGAGGTAACGCATAAATCGAAAAATTGGATTAGCATAAAAAATATCAATAAACTAGGGTCACTTCTGCACCTTTAGGGCGTGCATACAAGACGGGTGCAAGTAACGTACCTATATATTTATAACTTGGTATAAAACTGCATATTATATGAAAAGTTTCAACTCAATCCGTTCAGTAGTTCGGGTGAGAAGTAGTAGTAAACATACATCCAAACAAACATTCGCATTTATTATTTTATTCAACAAAAGATAAGGCGAGATCGTTGTCGTTTTGGTATTCAGCGTTCCAATCAATCCAATACTTGAACTGCGTATATTAATAAGTATGGCGGCATTTCTTTAAATTCGAAGCATACAATTAAAATTCAGTCTGTACGTTTGTCTGTTCGATTTTAAACAAGTTTACAGTCTTTTCCGCTCTCGATGAATTTTTGCACGCTTGACATTAAACACAATAGAAAGATCGTTGTCTATATTTGTCTCGATATTCTACCTTCACGGGGTTGCTGACAAAGGGTTTTCGGTATTTTTAGTATGAAAATTTAATTTTTTTTTGGTTAATTTATGGGTTACCTTGGCGTTACGAATGAAAAAAAAAAATTTGTTATTATTTAATTTAGTTTTCACAGTCAAGGAAGTACCTTTTTCAGAAGATAAACTATCGGGCATCAACGATTAGCCCTGATAGATATATGGGCAGAAACGGCGAGACACGTAAATTCGAACTCGGAGAAGTTGCAGTTTTTTCGTCACCAATTTCGCCCTTGAATTTCGACGTAAGATCACTTTGCAAGAGTATCTATCTGGTTTATACACAATATATTTTAAAAATCAGTGATCAAATTCGAAAAATACAAAAAGAAGGATTATAAGATATCCAAAAAAAAAAAAAATAGCATCACTTGCAATTAATGAAATCAACCTAACCCTTAGAGGGTTTTACCCTTACTTTTTTGAAATAATTTATTAGTTAATAGTTTGCTAAAATAAACACTAATAACATTACTGTAGGCTAACTTTTTGCTTACATTATAGATAATATTTATTTTAGATTCTACTATGATGATTACTACTATGATTCTACTATGTTATGTGGTTTTGTTTTCTGTATGTGAACAACTTTTCTTTCGGAAATCTTACTCCGTATATCAACTTTAAAAGTGAGGTTTTTAGTAAAATTTTGTATCTCTTTGGTTCAATGACAAGGTTATTTTTTAATTTTCTTTGTAGTATTCTCAGTGTATAGGGGAAAAGCCACAAAAACACTGACGAGAAAACTTTTAACTGTTATATTTACATAGCAATGGTTTCTGTTATATTTGATTTTATTTTTTCAGTGGAAAATTATAGAGGACAGAAATTTCACTGAATAATAATTATATAGTTATAGTCCCTTATATACAGCTGTTTCTGGACATGGTTCAGTTTTCAAAATAATCTTGCAATTTGTCTGTGGTTTATAGCTATTTAAAATTTTCAATTTGTTTAGAATTTTCACTAAAATTACTGAAAAATTAATTTAGGTACTGCATCCCCACAATTCATGGTCTGTATTAATAATATTATTTTATGATTGTGTGTATATGATGTGCATAAGACGACTTTGTGTGTATGATAATAATAATATATAGAGTTTGAAGTATGACCTTTTTCTTTTTTTGACATTTTTTCACCATCGTAAAATATAGTCATATTGTTGCCTGTTGTTCCAGACATGATAACCATCATGTTCTCAGAAATATAGGTACCAAATTAGTATTGTATAGTGCTCATTATGTGTTCAAATATTGTAATGAATTATATTATACAGAAAAAAAATAAATTTCCGTGAATTTGTTTACAATAAACAATCGATTTTTAAGTATAACAGTATGTGGGTAAAATATAATATAATATTTAAAAAAAATATAATAATAGTTGCGAATTAATAATACCAATTTGGATTTGGATTGATTTTACGGGGTGTTTTTATTTTTATTTTTACGGCAACTTATCAAAGATAGGTTGAATTTCATTCCTTTAACTGTTTTTTGTTTATGTAGAGATTGACCTCGGGAAATACCGGGCTGTTCAATTTGTAATAATAATAATAAAAAAACCAAATAAAAAAAAGAGGTTGCGAAGAAGCCATTTCTAGCAAATTTTGTCACGCGGTTACCGCTCGAGAAAACCAGTAGAAAACGTTCAAAATAAATTCAAAATTGTCTGAAAATTATGTTTTACCATCAAGTGCGATAAAAAGTAGTGAACATGCTTATACAATTTTAATAATCTGCAATTATACTATGCAGTTTTTGTAGTCTATAGAATCTATTAGGGAAAATTTGGAGAAATCTATAGGTATGTGAGGCCTGTGGAAAGTAATAACGGACAGACTGAAAATCTATACCGCTATTATATATTTTTGTTTAATCCACTAACAATAATACCGACCAAATGCAGCGGAGAGCCATATATTTTTTAATGTAAACATTATAAATTAATCCACTTTATCGTGTTCATCCAAATTCTACAATTTACGTCTAAACTTATAATGTTACCTTTAAACGAATAAATAACTATTATAGAACCGTTCCAGAACTTGTCGGCAGGTGTTCCATATTTAAAATATTTTTTGGTCGTCCTTGACATTAATTTCTTTTTCTCAGACGCATCGTTAAAACACCACAAAGTGTTCCTGTAATCCATGTATAATAGGCGATCAACGATGATTGTATTATTCGTCCAAAAAGAGGTAACTAAACATTGTTTGAATTGGTTAAAAATATTGAAATAGCGGTGCAAATGTTAAAAAAAAAAAATTATGCGTACCGTAGTATCTAATTGGTTGATATCGATATTTTATATCCGAGATTTGGGACTTTAACAATTTGCTTACCTTTTCGGTTTAAAAAAATTTCGAGCAAAGTGTTATGGAAAGTTATATTATACTACGATGATCTCAAATATGAACTTTTAAAATCTCTACAAAAATGTTTTAAAAGTATTTTATCTAGTTATTTTGATAATTTTTGGTGTTTTGCAAAACTGCTTAATTGTGATAATTTATTACTTAAAAAAACCTAGACATTTTAGTTAATTTCTATATTTGTTTTTTTTTGTTCACGGTAGAGCTATAACTACTAATAATTTTAAAAAATATTTGATTATTTAACGTAAGAGATGGTAAGCGACATTTTAATAGGTTTTTTTTTTAGTTGAAATTAATCTATTTTTCTCCGATAAAAAAATATTATTTTTCAAAAAATGTATAAGAATTATAATAAAGATAATAAAATGTTCTCGAAAATTCAAAAATATTAAAGGGTTTTGATTTGTTTTAAATGAAAATTATTATTTATTTTAATGTTTTAAATATAAAAATTAAAAAATATTATAGTAATAATAGTTTTCATAGTTTTTTATTTTAATATTTTTAAATGCTTATTTTAGTACTTAAAATGAAATATTTAAACTCCTATTTGGATGAATATAAATGCTATAAATGCCGAACACTGGTTATGTCCATTCAGTATTGATGATAAGATTAGTGAGTAGCGATATAGTCCAAAAACACGGAAATGTATACTTCATCACTTAGTATGAACTTAATGGTTTTACTATAATAATTGCCATTATTGAGATGTTTAAATAATCTTATTGACTATAACAACATCGCCATAGACCATACCATGTTGAATACACCAGTTCTCGTCTGATCACTGAAGTTGAGCAACGTCTGGCATAGTTACAGTACTTAAATGGATGACCGACCGCTCGGGAACACTACGTGCCGTTGGCAATTTTTTTTTTACTTTTTTCCGTAAAATTAAAATCAGACTCGAATATTATTACGTTTTTTCTCATGTCTTCGAAATGTCGGAACGGGGTCTTTGTCGTCCTGACACCCCTCGCCCATGCGTTTTTTCAACGGCGTGCATTTTTTTTTTTTTTTTTAACTCAATCTAATTAATGTATGTATCTGATATTTTTTCCGAAATTGCCCTCTCCCCCCGAAAATCCTTTCAACGCGCCTGCCCCGGGCGACTGCCCCTGATGACGTCCCAACACGGCTCCGCACCGGGTACCTATACACTATACCTAATGCCCGACCTACGCACACGCTGCGGGTAGACGCACTCGCGTATATCCGTGGCCACAAGAATACCCGACGACAAGAGGGTGTAAAACCCTCGGGCATTTTACGCTTGTGTACACATTAATGTAATAGTATACATATTATTATAATATTATAATATTACGTATATTGAATATTCTACCGGCGATCGGACCTACTGCTGCACACGGCTATAAACGCGCTGCCGATGTTCCGAATAATATTATGAACGCGCGCGGTTCGGGCCGCCTAATGGATCGTAATTATACCGGGTGAAACTATGTAAGTTTCGAGTACCCGCGCGTACGTAAATACACTTGCATTATAAATATTACGAGCGCACACGACGACCGACTCGGACCCGGGGGGCGCGAGTGCGACGGGACCGCCTATTCCGCGGCGACGGCTAGCCGGCACTATCGTGTACCTATAACGCATAATATGATAATAATACATAGAGCGCGATATAATGTCAGAAGCGGATATTATTTCGTTATTTATACAATAATATTAAAACGCGCGCGACGATACGGCATAATATAGTATATTTTTAATCGTTCCGTATCAGGCGGATAATGCGCGTGGCATAATACACTGTTTTGAAAATATATATATATATATATATATATATAAATATATATATATAAATATGTAGGCGTACTATTGGATAAAAAAAAAAAAAAAAAAACCCGAGAAAGAAAGAGACAGAGGGAGAGAGAGAGAGAAAAAGAGAGAAAGAGATAATGTGTATGTATGTAAAAAAAAAAAACTTAAAAAATATTATCCATTGTATAATTACATAGACCGGTGCGTTCTGTTTGCTCGGCTCGGCTCTCGCGATCTCGGCGGCGGCGCGCGCTGTTAATTAATATAATTACTCGACCGGTAGTCGCGGCGGCGTAACCGGGTGGAAAAAAAAAATGAAAACAATTTTCGGAGTGTGTGCCCCTCTCGACCAGTTTTCACGTCGACCGTATTGTGGCGTATTTACGTGTTTAATATACCGGGTACTCGCTCGCATAATATAGTTTTATACAAAGATCCCGCCGCCGCCGTGGTCTCGGAATGCGTCCAAACCACCCGGACTTATTAACGCATAACTGCATTTTTTATTATCATTATTATTATTATTATTATTTTTTTTTTACCCCGACCATTATATTATTATCATTATCATCGTGGACAACGGCCGCCGACGCCGCCGTTCGGAATGTAAATGGCACTTGCCGGACTTATATACTATACACGTAATATATTATTATTTGTAGTTTTTTCCCTCCCCCGTCGTCGTCGCCAGTTATTTCATCGGTCGATCGAAAACTTTTATGCCGTGTGTAATCATAAAATATGTGTACATCATAATATTTCCGATAATTATACCTGTATGATTATTATTATTTCGTATTGGAGACACACCGCAAACGGGCGAAATCAATAATATATTTTATTACCTTTTAATATATGATAATCAGTGGTTAAAATACAACGTAACGTAGTAAGTTGAACGGTTTAAGTAGAACAGAGTCCCTCTTGTTTTTTAAAGTAAATCAATTATTCCCCTTTAGTTTAAGTATTCGTAATCTGGAGAGGTATCTTAATGTTATTGTTACTAAGACATTTTTAATGAAATCTTATTAACTTGAGATAGTTTTATTAGGCAAAAGTAAGTTTTTTTTGTACCTTCTACATTATACGTCATGGAGCTTTGAATTAATTTTTACTGGTAAAGCATATGAGTAGGATAAAATTTAAGAGAAGATGCAGTTAATTTTAAAACTGTAAACCCCATAAACATATAGTATTTTTATGAACAAATGTATGTGAGAAAAAACATTTTGGAAGTTTTATATCCACGACGAGTTTTCTGAAAGTTTGGTTAAGTTCAGTTACTTATCGGGACTACATCTCAATTTTTGGTGAAGGTAATGTCCCTTTAAAATTTTTTTCATTTTAATCACTGACGGTAGTAATAAACCGACCACGTTTGTATCAGAATACACAAGAGTGGAAGAAGAAACACAATAGAAGAATTGTTCAAATGTATAGTTATTGTGAACGAAATAAAAAGAAAGAACGTAGAATGGCCACGTGTGGAAAAAAAAAGAATCTACGTTTAATAAAGTATGCCAGGAAAATCCGAGAGGCCCTTAGGTAGACCAAAGCTCCTTTGAGAAGATTGTAATTAGCCCGATTTCTATAGTATCTCAGGAGAGGAACAATAAGAAAATTTGAACTGGGATTAGGTAGTATTAAATAAAAAAGACTGAAGAGGATTTACTCGGCAGAATAGTCTTAACGGTGGTAAAAAAAAAATTATTATATTAATATATGAGATGTAGTTTATTCGAAAATATTATCGATTCGACGGTGCACGCAATAGTTACGGTGTATATTTTAATCGACACACGCCTAAAAGCCAGATAAAACTGTAAATTGATAGATTTTAATTTTAAAAACAGATTATGATTCTTTAGGTTCAGTACTAGCCAGGGTATGTTGGAAATGGAAATTTAATTATTTTACTGTAAATCGTTAATAATATTATGGTATGTGTATATGAATACTTTCTAAAGACACACTTCAAGAATTTTAAATTAAAATGAAAAAATAATTCAAACGTATCCTAGTATACAGAACATAAAGAATTATAATAATATGTGTTTACTCATATTATATTCGTCAAGATAAAACGTCATGTTCATCCGTAAAAACCACCGTACCGCTTCACCTTAATGGATATCGGGCAGTAGATTAGTAGAAAAGTCTTGTGATTAAAGTCTAAAAACGAACGTTTTGGACTGCACAAAATTTGAGTAAAATGCACAAAACCGTCACCGTCGATCCACTTAAATAAAAGAGAAAATTTGAATACCCGTATAACGTACGTACATTGGCTTATACGGATTTCGGTATAGATTTTGTAACGCGTATAGGTATTCGAATGAAACAAATTTTACTTAAAGATTACGGAAATCTCGCCTCCGTCGGTATGCATTATGATTCAAAGCGCCACTGCACGCATACGTACTGTTACTACGGGAGAAACGGGGAAATTCGCCGCGGACAGTCTCCGGTTATAAACGGGTTGTAAAAAACGTATCTGACATCGATCTCATCGCCGGTATATTATATTACACCTCGGCCGTATTGAAGCACCCATACCTATCGTCCGCGGAAAGGTCAGACATGAACATTATTATGTTGCGATGCACGGCGATAATATAACGTACGGTCGGATCTATACGCAATATTGTACTTATATACGAGTATAGGTATCAATTCCGTACGTCTTGCGACGATCTCAATAAAATATAACCGTGTAAATTGTTCGGTATGAGACTCGACGGAATCGGTTACGTCGGGACACCGGCAGTACGAGGAGGCCTATCTACGAGGTCTATAACGAGGATATCTCATATCATCTCGGCCTTGTCGGTTTCAGTAACGCGTCGTGACCGGCCGTTATTTTATCGTCTACCCGGCGAGATTTTCGGATCGAGTCAAAAGCTAACCTACGTACATCCACAAAGTTTCCGACGAGACGATTTACGTTTTATTTAAATTGGTTTCGCGATGCTCTGAGCAGAATAAATTTACTCGCAGGTCCTTCAACTTAGGGCAAAAATACAAAAACTATAATAAAGGTAACCAACATCCTTTTTTATCTCCTGATATAGATATACCTAATGCCAAGTTCATACAATATTGGCTTTCAATTGTTCTCGTGAACGAAGTATAGAATACCTAGACATTTTTGGTCGCATAAATATATTTGGCATGAGGGCCTTCGAGTGTGAAGCCTTTTCGATGGGCCCTACTTTTCTTGCCGAAAATTAAAATGCCCAAACGAAACTTATAGGTACTTTTAAACCACCTTGGATACCCAAAGAGCGAGTTGTTACACATTAAATAAATATTTGTGCGCAACCAATAAAAGTCGATTGCCGAAAACACCGCGCGGCCAGAGTTTTAGACCTTTAAGACATTTAGTTTTAGTGGTTCTGATACCTTGCTTTTTCTAATATACTTACGAACGGTACAGTTACGGTAATAATTGATATGTGGGTTAAAAGTATACTATAAATGAAACTGTTATTCGACCGAACTTTTTACGAAATGTATTTTATTTTTTTTTTGTTTTTCTAAAATTTGCTAATCATGAATCATTATTTCGGTTGCGTACTGTTATTTCACTGAGAAAAAAAAGGCGTAAGTTTTATCGGTTTAATCAGTTATTGCTCAACTATACATACTTAAACCTATCTTTACTTATTATTATATAGTAATTTACGTTGGTAATGAATATGAATACTTTCCGTAGTAATTTAAATAGAAGAGAAAAAGATCGTAATTCGATAGCACCTTATATTTATATAATGTATACATTTAATGGGCCTTTAGAAAATATTCACTGCGCAATATTTCAAATTTATATAATAAAATATATTTGTACCATCATATTATCTCGTTTACGGATCTTTAATTATTTACCTACTGTGATTTTTTAAGATAACGTTAATTATTAACATCATAGATGTTATATTCCTACGTTTAATTAACGTTTCTAAAAAATTTAAGATAGTCTCAACTCTCAAGACGAATGTTTTAACATAATATTATACAATCGCACGTTTTTTTTAACAAGCAGTTAAATTTATTTATTTATAAATTCATACGGACCTAAGTTCTTTTACATAAAATCGCATATAACTGTTGAACATGGTGTTATGTCGAAAGATAACATGGTAGGCAATACATTTAATTAGTTAAAGAAATAGAAAGTAATTGATACAAGAAAAAAATTATGTGAATTTATTGTAATTTATAAGTACTAATATTTATTTATTCGTGTAATACTAGCTGAATTTCCTATTGGTATTTCCTGAAATAAATTCTTTCAAAAACAAAATCCAATATCAAAAAATTTAATTAAACGTGTTTCCCCGTTTCTATTCTTATCTCTATCATAGATAATTGTTGATGCCTGGTAGTTTAGATCTAGTTAATCTTTTAAAAACGTTATACTTCCTTGTCTGTGATAAACAAATTAAATTTTAATAACCGATTTTTCGTCTGTATTATCAGGATTACCTATAAACCAAATAAAAAAAAATAAAATACAATTTTTGTTTCAAAAATTCCAAAACCCTGTGTCAGCCACCATTTAGAGATTAAATTGCGAGATAGAAAGTAGATTGTGACAAATGTCTCTTGTTTTGGTTTGTAAAGTTTCATCAATATCAGAATGAAACTGTAGATTTAAAAATTGTTTAACCAAATAATAAAATCACAATTTATGAAAAAAAAAAAAAAAAAAAAAATGTATTTTATTGAAAAGAAATAGTGTGGTATATGAAATATTATTCCATTAAAAAATGTTACGATGTATATGTCTGTACAGTTACTTGAACAATTTTTAATCATGTTGGGATCAATAACTCATAGCATAAAAATGTTTTTACTATACTTTATATTTACATATTCGCAAAGAAATTAAAAACTTCAAAATAGTGATCGATTTTTTACCCACTTACGGCAGGCCGATAGACCCGAAGTTATGAATCCGTTTATTTTTTTAACGACAGTACAACAATCTGTAATCAAGTTTTCCGATTTCGTACCCGTTTTCAAAAAGGATGGCCAAATGATTTTCACTCGATATGGTTACTGAGAAAACTATTTTGCAATAATGGGAAACGTGTTATACAACTTTTGGTCCGATATCTTTCACTATTCATAGTCCATGTCATAAATAATCCTATATAATATTATGAAGAAAAATAATTTAATCGTGGCCTTTTTAATTATTAAAAGAGACAATAATTTTTTAGTTGTTCATAAAAACAACTAAAAAGTAAATGTCAATGAAAATATTGTTTCATGTATATAATATCAGAACATTGAAGTAAAATAAGAGTATAGTATTATGGTATTCAAAGTCAATCACAATGAAATTATAATTCTGGACTACGGGAGCAAATGTTTCATACAATATTATATTATAATATTGTTGTTATTGAGCGATGTATATCATATTTTTTGAACTGTGTTTTATATTTATTGATGATTCGTCGCTAAGGACTTAGTATTATAAAAAAAAAAAAAAAATACGAAATATTTGAATTCATTATTATATTTTATGAACAATTTTAAAATTATCTGAAAATTGCGAAATCTTGATATCATGCTTACAAACTGTAATATTATATTGTAAAATATAAACCGAAGAAAAAAAACAGATGGCAAATACCGAAAAAAAAACTTTAAATACATTCGACACAAAATCGTCTACAGAAAACTTGCAGCAAGAACATGACAACTCTAAGTTTCCAAAAGACTCGGAATCGCCGGAAGATCCGGAATCCTCGGAAAACCTGGAAGAAGAATATCAGTTCTTTCGGTTATTGGTCAAAAGAAATATATTCAAACTAACCAGCGTCAAAGGTTGTTTATAAAAAAAAACTATTTACTATTTACACTATAGCAATAATGTTTTTAATGTTATGGTTTTTAGTCGCATTTTCACCGAAAATAGAGACTATAGCAACTAAAAATATTTAATATATTTTAAATTGTAGTTGGGTATAGGATCTATTGGTTTTACTATGATGTGTGTGTGTTTCTACTAGTAAATAACTTTTGAAACAAAAACTTGTTTCAATCACAAAATTACAAAATAATTTTTTGTTCCATCTGGAATCTAGTTTCTTATAAAATAAATCGTTTTTTGTAGAAATTTTACGAATCTTGATTTTTAAGGTCAAACTGAACCGATAAGAACTTTTCTTAAAATTAACGAACTCGAACCGAACTATTTGGTAAATGGTTCGGTTTGAAAATCGAACAGTTCGTCACATCTCTAATTTTTTTACATTCCAAGAAGTTTTCATAATAATTTGGAAAACTCAGAAAAATGAAAATAAATAAATTTACGATCCATAATTTTATACGGACGAACACATACCAGAAATATTGCTCAAATGGAACATAATTAGTGTAGCAGGTACAGCGTCTGGTGTTTGAATAGTGTTAAACTACTATCTTACTGAATAGACTTAAAATTAAAATATCTTGTGAACGAGTTGACGGAAATCAACAATTTTAAAACTAAAATTTATTTTATTTAATATTCCATCTATTTTTGGAATAATTAATATAGGTTCTCATTTGAAAAACCTAAGTTGGTATTGCCAATTGGATAATTCTTAAATGTTGCGAAAAATGTAATTATACGAAAATATCTTCTTTATACTTAAAAAATTCCAAAATACGAATTTGCATATTAGGTACATAATCTACTACTAAAAGGGATGAAATTGTTCACTCTGTATGTTTAGTACGATGTATTGTATTTTTATAGTTCACGATTATTTCAATAATACATAATAAAGAAGGGAAAATGTGTGTTCAATTGATGATAATTGGTGTTTATTTTTTTTTTTTTTTTTTTTTTACATACTAATTATTTGCACCGTTTGCTACAGAACAACTTGTAATTTCCACGTGGTTGCACAGTTGCGACACGACAGAAGACAAATCGACAAAATGTGGATTTGTCAAGTTGTTGTTGGTTTCACTCCAGCATATTAGTGGTAACCTGCATTATTTTAACCTAACTAGCCCGTCGATACTACCCCATGTAACCAACACTCTGGATTCGGTTAGTGCAGATGGTGACGAACCTCAAAGCGAGATTAATTTTCGATTTGATTATGTGATATTCTTTGTTATAGCTTCAATATTTACTCACCTTGTCGTTGATAGAAGAAAAAGAAAAAGACTATTTCGCCAGCAACGTGGACACAGACATCAAATACAAAACCATAGCCTCCGCCGCCGTGTCATCAAATCTGACCAGTTTTGCCTCCACATTCGTGGACAGAAACTGTGTACAGGTGTTCTATGCCAGATCCGATCATGCGATAAACTCGTGGCGTTTGCCAGAACACGTGCTATTTCCTCGAGATAGCCGATCGCCTTCCCGGTGGGAGAGTGCGATCTCCCGTAAAGATATACGGACCGCAATCCCGAAAGTTAATCCAGATTCGTCAGTCCTTGAGTTCGTGTACACAAAATAAATATGTCACAACACAGTATAGCTTAGTAATCCATTTATTAGATAAACTCATTTAGGAATAATTATTGGCAACTAAATACAAGCATTTGTGAAAATTGCATCATTTACAAGCATATCTAAAAATCTAAAATATAAAAAAAACGTTATTATCTTGTTTTTGTCACCCTCATTTTTTTTTTTTTTTTTTTGAAGGTGAGTAGTATTGAAATTACTATCTTTGATTGTCATGTGCACCTATATTACAAATTCAACTAGTGGATGGAATATTAAATTTTGGTGTTGAAATTTTTGATTTTTGTCAACCCATGAGATATTCAACTTTTAAGTTTGGGTAGGGAGGGATTTGTTTTAGTGGAGCATCATAATATGTGTGCTGGCCTGACACACAGCGTTTAATAATGTTTAACTACTACTCCCCTATTCAAAATTAAAAGTGAAATAAACGTTGTCATAAACGGATTGACGGAAATCAAAAATTTCAATATAAAAATTTATTTTAAATAATACTCCATCTATTTATGACATTTTTTTTTTAATATGGCCTGCTTTTTAAAAATCATAGGTAGGTTGTCACTTAACTCCCAAAAATAAGAGTGATAAATAATAACGATAATACTTCACTAAAATGAATCTATCTGTATGGGTGTGAAAACGGATTCAAAACTTTTGGGATTTATTTTCAAACAATCCTAGATTTGGGAGTTGTTTACACTCGTATGATATCTGTTTAAATATATTAGTAAGTTTTACAATCGTGAACCGTTATCTGTAATTTTATGTTCAAGCCTCATTTTTATTATTTTATTGGGCTCTTTTGCATTGCGTTCTTTAATTAAAAATGTATAAAAATATGATTATCCGAATTACAATAAAAAAAAAGTTGATACTTCCGATATAGGTGTGTACTGCTGTTGTAAGTGGGAAGTTGGGAAGGTAATCATTTTTAATAAAAATCATCATCTCTAAAATTGATGATCGTAACAATTTTTCTGGTAGAAAAACTGTTCACAGGCACACAAAAAAAATAAAATAAATTAATATAAATTAAAGCAAAATACATGTATCTCACTCTTTATGTTGAAATCTTTTAAGTAATATTATATTTGGTCGTTTATTTGGAAATGCCATTAGTATATTACAGAGATAGTTAAATTATTTCTGTACTGTTGATTAATGAAATGATTCTTTTTAGATTTCTGAATGATTTTCAATTCAAAAGTGAAGAATCGTGGGAACGTATTCACAAGGCTTCCGATTCTCAATTGTAAGTATTTACATATATATTGGAATAGCGTTCATATTTTTGTGGATATCACATTGATACATTATAATGTTCACCCTATAGGAGTCCAAGTGAAAGACAATGTCGTCATATTTTAAGATCTGACCAAGTGACCGCAGTGGTTGTCAACCCTCAAAATATATTTAAATGGTACGAACACAGCAGATTAGACGGCAGCTTAAGACCCACTTATGAAATTTGTGTTGACAAGTACGTAAAAAAATTAAAAATAAATAGCTGGTACTATCAAAATATGCACCAATGTTAAAGGTTGGAAGTTAGGAAGGTAGGAATAGTATAATACATATGGTTTTAAATCTGTAAGGTACGATAAACCATTATTATAAAAAACCAACTTCGTTTACACATGTTTTAAAATGTCATAGTATACTCAGCAAATAAATCCAAAATGAAACAAAAAAGGTTTCTTGTCATTCTTTGATTGAAATAAATTTTCTTTTCGAAAAATTGTTTACAAACAGAAATAAAAATACACTTTATAGTAAAATTAATAGATCCCATACTCTACTCCTAATTTAATGTATATGTCATATGTCAAGTTGGCACTAGCAGTTTTGACAAATTTAGAAGTTTCACACAAAATTTGACAGACTTTGCTAGGAAATTTTAAAAATTTGTCAAAAATTCACTTATTTTTTTTTACCAACAATCATTAACTTAACATAACTTTACTATCGGCACATTTTAATTTTTTTGACGTCAAAATAACAGCTAGAATTTGTCACATTTTGCTACGCTATTTTAAAAAGTTTACAAATAATTATTTTCCCTAGGGGGAACACATTGTTCAAGTTCAACGAATTATATATCATAAAAACGATGTAATTTGCATGTTTCAATAACGGTTGTTTCGATACGACATTCAACGAATTGAATAATGTATCAGTGTCAGATAAAAAATTTTTAGTGAGTCCTGCGGGGAAGTAATTGTTGACAAATTCTGAAACTCCACCCAAAATTTACAATATTTTAACAGGGCTAATTTAATACACTTATATTATAAACCAACATTATAATAACGCAATAAATTATTTATCAGACATACTTGCCAGTTTGAAAAAAATCAATTGGAAATGGATGAACGAGCCATTAACGTGGTGAACAAAGTATTTCCCGGTCACGTGCGAATGGTCCTCGATCCGGTTCTCATCGCTGACGTCACTGGCATAAAGGTAAACCGGACCGTTGACGGAGATTGTCTGAACTTGAATACTCACGATAAAACATTGATGATCGGAAAAATGATTGACTGCAAAGTACAATAATACAAAGTGATTCATTTATAACGAACCAGAGATTTTCAATAAAATTTCATTAGAAAAGACGGGATCCCATGTCTCGTAATATATCTTTAAAGACGTCTCCTCTTTTCATACTTAACGCTATTAGTTCATCGATGTGTCTTTTATTTTCTGTATGTCTACTTGACTTAATAAGTATACGTAATACGTCACTAGTTAGAATAATAAAAAGATCAGGTACTTCTATAAAAAATGAAAATTACACATATAGTGTTAACTGTTAATTAATATCGTAAGGTAAACTACATTTATAATTTGACAACAAATATTTAAAATTTTATAAAATATATGATATGGTGTTGTTTAATTTAAGTAAGTACACATATCTTATTATATATAATTCAACATGTTCGTTCTGATGGCGACATTCAGTGTATAGTTGGGTTCAAATCCTTAAATTATAGACCAAATTTATTTATTTCCTTCTCCTACTCCTTCCGCTTTATCTAAAGCCACAGCGGTTTTTCATTCATTAGGATTGCAGGTTTTAGGTTTACACTAAGGACAATTTATAATATTCTTGGAGTATTATAAGATTTGGAACAACGGTGCACAAAACATAACTAAGTAGCATAATATTTATCTATATTTATCTATATATTTATATTATTGTTATCGTTTAAATCGTGTTATTGATATTAAAAACTTTTAAACTTGTAATAAGTACTTAAAGAACTAATCCGAAGATTCCGTTAGCGTTTGTGACTCGTTTCAAGTAAAGAACGTTAATACGCCGCCCGGAAATATTCTTAATTTACCCACTCATCTGACTTGTCTCCCGCGGGCTGTCACTCAGGCGGTCGACATAATATAGGAAACGATTACGGATATAAACGTGATTACGATGTTATTAATGTTTGGTCAGCGCGGTTTTATTAAAACGAGAAAGCGTCCAAATTAAAACCGCGACCATTATCGCGCTGCGATTATAATAAAAATATTATATCGCATAAAATCGTTTTCAAAAAAAAAAAGTGCGTATTGTATTATTACAACAGAAGGGTAAAATGAAAATGAAAAAATACGACGGGTTTACGCGTCAAATTAATTTCAATTGTGCGGAAGACCTCCTCTTTCAGCAACGGTGATAATATATTAAACACAGTATCTACCAATTTTTCATAAATAATATTCATTATAATATTATCCCTCGCACTCGCGGCTGTTTCGAATATGAAATCGTATTTTACGCAGTTTGCGTGTCTCTATATTTAATCAAATGACGATATTATTATGTTATCCTAAATCGCACGTTGTATACGGGATACGCAATAGCCTTTTTGTCCAGAACGTACACGATGAATCGTTCGCCAACAGATGTAATTTAGAACTTTAATGCCGTTTTCGACAACACGACTATAACACACGAATATAACACACATTTATAATACTTTGTTACGCAATAAACTCGACCTAACCAATCGTTTAACTTGTATTTATTGTACCTATATTATTTTAATAGGACCATATATGATTCGGCCATTTGCACATTATGTGCACAGAAATTTACAAAATGGTCTTTAAATATTAATAAATACAAAACGCACAGAATTGAGTACGAGACACAAATACTTTCGTTATTTACTAGTAAATACAAAATTCAAATTACCTTATATCGCATAACTGCATCTTGTACCACATGACCTCTGCCCGTAATTAGTGTGGAAATATAGACCTATATGAATGTGACAAGAAATGACCATAAACATTAAAATTCATAATAATATGACAAATGATGTATTACTGATAATAAATATTTGATCAACGGTATAACTAAACGATTAATAAAATAATCATTAAAATAACTACATTACACTTAATTTTTTTTTTTTTGACTTCTATGTACGACTTATATCGAACCTCTTTTCATATTCATGAGAATTTCTGTTAACTCTAAGAATTTATCTACAGAGTCCTTACCAAATAAAAATTATCTAATAAAACTTTCAAAATTAAAATGTATAAAATAGCTCAAAAACTGTTCAAATATTATGAAGGTTTCGCCACGTGTAGAAAAAGTAAACGTAATTTTTTTGTCAACATTTCAAGTCTCTGTGAATATTTTAATCTGAGTTACAACGAAAAAACAAAATTAAAAAAAATAAAAAGACGTCTAATGATAATGGGGTCGGGTGCAGCCACTGTTATAAGTAATTTAAAGTACAACCGTTAGAAACAATATACCATTGCTAATGAAAAAAGGATTCTTAGCGGAGTTCAGTTGATAGTGTTACTTTTTCAACAACACATATATATATATATGTCATATTATGGTGAAATTCCAATTATTCCGATTCCAAAATTAAAATGGATCCCGCTTTTCCTTTGTTTTTTTTTTCGGTTTTTCACATTTGTTGAAAAAACTCATGAGAAAATCCAAAAATGGTGCTCAAGGACGTAATATTTCTTTGGCCGTCCGGTTAGTAAAACTGATTACCGACATTTTTGGGATTCATTTAAACACTTACTGCCATATGCGTCCAAAGAAGAACCTTGCGCGTATGGCACATGTAATGAGGAGAGAGGAATCTGAAACGGTAAATATTGTAATGCAAATGAACGTAAAAATATAATAGATTAAGGTAGATGTCCTGACTGATTCACCACTCATATATTGGGTCTATAAACTCGAAACAAAAGTTTGTTTTATAAAATAATGTGGACAAATACTGGTATAGAAAATTTTTTGAAAATTCGAAGGCCGAACTGGGCTTAAGCATAAAATATATTTTTAGTATTTTAGAATTAATTTTTCTTAATTGTTATTTACGGTTTTTAAATTTTATTTCAAAAGCATAGTGAAAGTTATTGTGGTTCGGAAAAAATGCATGACCCAGGAAAATTAAAGAGTTTAAGTCAGTAGTGCATTTTACTACATCACATTCATAATATACGAGTACAAAGAAAAATGTGGGAAATATAGCAATATTATCATTATTCGTTATTCGCTATTTCATCTCATTTTGATTTGTAATTTTTTAAAATTTTCAAATTTAAGCAATAGAAAAGGCTCTACTAAAAATTATCTAATTTTTCGTATTTTTATCATTTTGTTTTTTCTTTTCTTTTTTGTGTATCATATGATGAACTAGTTGTATACTTTCTCTTTTTTTAATGAACATTCATAATACCTTTGATTCGTATATACGCTATAAAACTAAATATTTTGAATCTATTTCTGGATTTTTAAATACTTTCAACTTATCTTGCAATGATTTCTTAAATGTAATGTTTATTAATATTAGAAGTACTTGTGCCAATTTTGATAACTCGTTGTTATCATTTGAGAATAAAATTAATTTTTCTATTGTTCCAATATTCAAGACAATAGAACTAATGTTAATGCACATAATAAACGTGTGTAAATGTTTTTAATGTAATAGTTACCAATTGTTTTTTTCAGAGGAAAGATGTGTAATAGGATCGTTAGTGATTGTCAAATATTTGGTAGACAAATTATGGTTAAAATTGAATCAATAAAAATGCACGTAAAACAGGCTTGATAGCTAGTTGTTCACATCAATTTATTTATGAGTTACCCACAGTTAATACGAGCATTAAAATTATACCATTGATTAAATATTTAATTTACCATGCTCAAAAATTAATATACAAATCATTTCATATTCTCATAAAAATGTGTTTTATATAAATGAAAAGTATAAATATAAAACATATGCATGGTGTAAATGTAAATTTAATTTATATAAAATTTAAATGACATTTTTAATGTAACAAGGTGGATTGAGTTAATTTTTTCAAAAAAAAATCTTAATTACTCAATAAAAAATAATCACATCTTTGTGTTTTGGCGACAAAACTTATAATAATATAGTATTTATATTTTATATTATCAGTGCGATATGTGTAGCTACGCCACTGCTACAATACGAGAATAATTATTAGGGTACAGCGTTAATTCTATATAAAACAAAACAAATTAAAAACCGCGTTCAATTTAGATTCGAGTTTGAAATCATCAGACCTATTATAGGAATACCTAATAATAATATGTAGGACACGATTTGCCACGACGCGTATTACACGCACGATTAATTAGTGTTTATTGTCCGCTAGTCGAATTCCGAGTCTATTGTCGAACGCGCAGAATGCATGACGTCATAATTTATATATAATTATATTAATACATATATCGGAATCGATTTCTATTATTTTCAAAAATACTATAATAGTGTTAGACGACAGCGACGACATTACTGGTATTATTATGGTGTTTGCCCGAAACGGTGTGGTGCTCAGCATCATGAAATATTGATATCACCGTGTCATATCTCGAGAATTTATGTATAATAACTGTGTTCAAGGTAATCTAAATCGCATGTAAAGTCACATGTTTCATTGAAGTACGTTTTTTTTTTCCAAAAAATGATTCTTATAAAAACTTTTCGAAATCGTAAATTCTAAAATATTACATTGTTTTATAGGTTTTACAATGATGTTTAATTTTTTTTTTCTACCAGTAATTCTGCTCCAATTTACAATATTTCAGCACTTTTTTTATAAGTAAATCTGACTGGCGTGGTACTTTAAAAAGGTCAATTTTTCGATTTTTCCAAGAGTTTTCACAATAAATGGGAAAACATAAAAAAATGCAGGAAAACCGGGAAAATCGGTACACTATTAAACACATATTATTAAAGAAATTATATAAAGCCTATGTAATTATATTACCATAATAAAACATAGATATTGTTTACAAAGCAACATTATCAACGGAACACCGCTCACAGTCGTTTTTTCGTTTGCAATGTTTAATCTTTGCTTACTGATACACTAAATTTCTTCTCTACTATCTTCCAACTTCTCACCTATAACAGTGGCTGCATCCATCTCCATTATCCTAGAAAAGCTTTTTGTTTTATTTATTCTTATTTTTGAGAGCGAAAACATTACAGACCTTCAATTTTAAAATACAAAACCTATATTGAATATTTTATAAATTA